CCCACATGTATTTTTAATCGCTGTTACCCCGGTGTGTTAAAAATTTTTAAATATTATTTCCAACTGAAATTATTATTAGTCACATTTATAAAATGAAGAGACATACATACATAAATACATACATACACTACAAGACGTAAAAATGTTTTAACTAGAATTCTTCCTAGGATAGACATTGTGGCTTAGGAAGGTGAAACTCCTAAAACTCCTAAGAGGCTGTCCTGTGCAAGGCAAAGGGAAGAACTTGCTTGTTACTGCAGAGAAGCAGGAATAGAAAGACAAGTGAGGAAGAGAATAAGATGCCAAATGGCACCCACTCCCCAGGGTAACAGCTCCCTAGAACTGCCCCCAAATAAAATGCTTTGAGCAAGTGGATTTAGGGAGAGACATATAAAAGGGCAGGTCCACTCCACGCCTACTCCACCAACAGCTGTGTCCATAGCAGATTATTCTGGGTGGTTTCTCGGAGAAACCTCCCATGCCCATGTCTCCTGGTCCTCTTGACAGACAGTCTAGATAAATGTCTCCTTCTCCTGTTGGCACCAACACATATGAAATGGGAAGCTCATCCTCACCAGAAAGCCAGAGAACAGGCCAGAGAGTTTATTCTCCCTCGCGAAGGTTGGACATCCCCCATTCCACATCTAATGACATCAGGCAGCCCAGCAAAGCACCTTCACTCCACAGGCAGCCGGGATACATCCAGAACTTATCGGAGCCAGAAGAATGAAGCAGACCAGAATGGCATTACAAGGCTCAGAAGACTGAGCTTTCATTGGAACTAAAACAAAAGGAGGACAGAATCTACCCAACAACTAAATGACATCCACTGCTGTCACACTTTACATTGATCTCTGATTGGCTTATTTTGCTGTTTGAATAAAGCTTGCGCTGCTATATCTATCTATCTATCTATCTATCTATCTATCTATCTATCTATACATATAGCAGCATACACACACATATATATATATATACACACACACACATACTAGAGGCCCGGTCAGGCATCGGTGGGGTTCCCTCAGCCTTGCCTGCTCCATCTTACAATCTGGGGCCCCTTGGGAGATGTTAGAGAGCCAGTTTCGGCCCCATCCCTGCAGGCCAGGTCTAGGGACCCCACCAATGCATGAATCCATACACCGGGCCTCTAGTATGCATATAAGATTTTTGGTTAATCTCTTCCCATCCTCCCCTCTTCCCCCTTCCCTCTGAGATTCATGTTTCCATGCCTGTGCATTGAACGTCTGCCCCTGGTGGTCAGTGTGCGTCATAGCTACTGGTTGAACGGTCAACCCATCATTTAGGTTTTTATATATATAGATGGCATTGTTCTAACTATACCAAATAACACTTGACAATTATTTGGTATTATTTGTCTCAATTTGTAATAGTATCAAGTTTGGCCCTAGCTATACTAACTCTCATGAATGGCTCAGCTCAGCATTCCATCACTATATACAGCCTCTGTTGAAGTAAATATAAATGTCACTAAATTTTCCAAATTTTATGTCACACTTTAAACAGTTTGGGGCATACTAATTGAGAATTTCTGCCTTTAATATTTAAAATATGAGATTAGTGTTCAACCCTCTTTGTTCTTTTTGGATTTCCTTTGGTTCTACTTTGATGAATCTTATTTACCTTAGATTTACATAAAAATGTATCTGAAGTTGATAAAGAAGAGAGATTCCATCCAGTTTAGAAGGTATAAAGGAGAAAATTTAAAAGTCCCAATACAGACATAAGATTTGAGAAATTGCTAGTATGACAAAAGGAAATTGTTGTTCTGAATTCTTCAAGATGGTGGTCTCTTGTAAGTAACAATCTCAGCAGGGACATTAGAATGTAACATTCATTATTCTTTGCCTCTAGATACCAACTCATTGGTGAAACTTCTAATTTTTGTGGCATCGTAGACAATACTGTCGCCTGGGAAAATCAAGTACCTGTTTGTCAGAGTGAGTTGAAATCTTTTCTATTACCTTTACCAGTAGAGTCTAAGTTTCCACCTGAATTTATAAAAATTTGAATTGAATTCCTTTAGTGCATTCTGTCCTTCAGATAGTTGAAGACAGCACTACTGTCCTCAAAGTACTTGTGGTGATAAAAATGACTACATAGGATTTCCTAAGGAACATACAATAGCCATGCAGCATTAGAAGAAATCTATCTGTACACTGGAACTTTATTCAGCCATAAAAGAAAAACATCTTGGAGAAGTACTTAGTGACATATAAAGATGTTTATTATATCTATTTGATGTGAAAAAAAAATCAGATGACAAAACAGTTTGTATGGCAATAGCTCATTTTATTAAAAGATCATATATCTATGCCTATTTCTATATTTTCATCTCTATCTCTAATTCTGTAACCATTTTTATATTCAGACCCTGGTAACTAGTTTTAAGCCTCTTTGGTGAAGGCTGTGGGGCGGAGGCGGGGGCTGGTCCTATACCTTTTGGCTGTGTAGCAGGTGCTTCTTCAAGAAGATTCACACTCCCATTTCTTCAAGCTCCTCTGTGTCTGTAAACTGGTTCTCAAGTCTGGGAATTGGCTGACGAAGAACCACACTCTGTTTTATAGTGTTTCAAGTTAGACTTCCAGTCACCAGACCTAGATCTTTTCTGCGTATACAAACCTTAGTTCACTCTTCATCTACTTCATCTCTTGAGACTCCATGATCAATTAACTGATGACAAAGGTCTCTGCAGATAAATCATTCTGATTTGTTTCAATTGCCTCTGGCAGTTAAGGGCTGCCACTCAGCCTCTGCCATTCTGAGGTCCTGTCATCCCCCTTGATTTTAGGGAACCTGGTTCAATAGCAACTATTCCCACTGTCATTCCTGGCCTACATAGAGGGCCTACATCACAGAGTTCTTCAAAGATGCTGAAACTCCTACATGAATTTATTTCTCAAAGCCTTGGGTGAAAGAGGGATCCATCCCCCAACCCCCCACCCGATGGACTTAGTTAAGGAGCCTATTCATGGGTCTTACAAAATGAATGCCCTCCAGCATTCTCAGAGCCCTGGGCCATTGTGATGCCAGGTGCGTTCTTGGCTTCATGCAGGAAGGAATTCAAAACTTGACCCAGACAGAAGAGGTTCAAGTGGAGAAGTGGGTTTTATTGAGCAGACAGGACACACAGGAAAAGCCACTCCACAGACAGAGGGGTGGACTCCCTTCACGAGAGAAGGAAGAGAGGCCCCGGCCATCTCTGCACGTTGAGCCTATACCTGTTTGTAGTTTCTATGGAAAATTGCTGGGATGGGGAAACAGAGAGAGGGAAAAGTCGGGATGAGCTTTCACCTTTACAAGGTATATTTTGTGGTCTGTTTCCCTTTTATGGTTTACTAGTAGGTAAGTGATAAGGTGTGGCTGAGTAGCTAGTCATCAGTCTTTGCAGGAATGTCCTTGGTTCCGGGGGTCCCTCATGGTCTGCTTGCATCTCCGTGTCAGGCAGCACGGAGCAGGCCCCTGGCTTCACTTTGTTTGGCTTTAGTTCATTTATTTCGTTTTCATGCCCCTCTCCTATGTGAGTAGGATTTCTGCCCCTGAGGTTAGTAAAGCTCTGGTCTTTCACCTTCACTGAGCATGCTCCACACTCAAACTATCACACTGAATTCAGAATCTCACTTCTTTGGGTGCATTTGCATCTCTCACAAGTCATAATATTTAACTCTCTCCCCACCCCCCTTGCACTCCACCCCCATTCCTGCCTGGAATTGAATCTGGTGAGAGCACTAGAAACGATGTGAGGTGGTAGGGGTAGGTCCTGAGGAAGAACATCAATTGTTACTATTTCCGTTGCCAGATTTAGTAAATAAAATATTATACCCAGTTAAATTTGAATTTCAGATAAGCAACAAGTATTTTTGCAGTATAAATATATGCCATGCAGCCGGGTCAGCGTGGCTCAGTGGTTGAGCGTCGATCTATGAACCAGGAGGTCAGGATTCAATTCCCGGTCAGGGCACATGCTGGGGTTGCAGGCTCGATCACCAGTGGGTGGTGTGCAGGAGGCAGCCAATCAATGATTTTCTCTCATCATTGATGTTTTTCTCTCTCTCTCCCTCTCCCTTCCTCTCTGAAATAAATAAAAATCTATTTTTTTTAAATTAAAAATATATATGCCATGCAATTCTGAGATATAATTATACTTAGAAATGTTCACTTTTTTCTGAAATTCAAATTTAATGGGACTACCAATACTTCCTCTGGCAGCCCTATCAGGGCAGCTACGTCAGGAGGGGCCATTAGAGTTGCTTCAGGCAAGAGGAGACCTGCCTCCTCAGACAGGGAGGAGGAGCTACATCTCCTAGCAAAGGACACCCCAGCAGAATTCCCAGGTTCCAGGCACTCAGCTTCATTAGAATCTGTCCATCTCAGTTTTCAGAATCCTCTTCCAAGCAGTGCTCCGACTTTAGCATACAGACCCTGAGACGTGGTGAGAATCAGCCACAGGATTAGATGCTGGATTCGTTTTTTCCGAAATCTTGGCCCTGTGGCTACAGGGCACAAGTGTTCTTTTAGGGCAGATAAAGAAGCTTTCAGAGCCAGACTTAAAGCAGGAATTTCAAGCTTTGAACCCATCATTTTCGTTCTCTCAGGTTCTCTAAAACAACCCACCAAGCCCATTCTATGCCTTCCCTAGACTCTCCTAGGACAGCCACACTTAGTCACTCAAAGCCTCGCTCCTATGCTTACAGATGGCTACAGGTGGCAACCAGGGGATCTTCTGTCCCTGCATTCCATCAACTACAGTGGGGCCTTGACTTACGAGTGTCCCGACTAACGAGTTTTTTGAGATACCAGCTGTCTCTCAGCCGATTTTTTGCATTGAGTGAGTTTTTTGAGATACGAGCTGATTTTTTGCATTGAGTTGATAGAGTAATTTGAGTTAACGAGCTCCTTAATGAGCTTGGTCTCGGATCGAATTAAACTCGTAAGTCAAGGCCCCACTGTATTTGTGTGCCCCTTTCCACGATCAGCATTAACATGAATTCTTTTTTAAAATATATTTTTACTGATTTCAGAAAGGAAGGGAGAGGGAGAGACAGAAACATCAATGATGACAGAGAATCATTGATCGGCTGCCTCCTGTACACCCCCTGCTGGGGATGAGCCTGCAATCCGGGCAGATGCCCCTGCCTGATCACCCCTCACCATCTCTGCCTGTCCTGATCTGGAATCAAACTGTGACCTACTGGTTCATAGGTCGATGTGCAACACTGAGCTACATCAGCCAGGCAATATGTATTCTTAAATATAATCCTATTAAAGAACCAATCCCAGATTCCTTTGTTACCCTGGGATAAATATTGGTCCAAATATGGAAGCAGAACTACTACCAGTGTTACGAAACAGGAGATTTGTTATGAAATTAGACCTAGCTGTGTGAGGAACTGCTCTAAACCAGTGGTTCTCAACCTTGGCTGCACATTAGAATCACCTGGGAATAAAAATCCTGATTTCTGGGCCTCATCCTTCGGAAATTCTGTTTCTTTGTTATGGGGCGGGGCCACAACATTAGTAACAAAGAAACAGAATTTCCGGAGGATGAGGCCCAAAAATCAGGATTTTAAAAAGATTCCCAGGTGATTGTAATGTGCAGCCAAGCTTGAGAACCACTGCTCTAAACGATGAGAAACACCACACTCATCAGGTGCCTGGGAGTGGGAGCTTTCAGGAAGCTAAGCACACCTCGCTGCTGGCTGGAGCTGGGAAGGGCTCATGCAGAGAGCTGTCTTATTGGCTCTTCCCAGCTGCTGCTGCTGTCAGTTAACAGAGACGCATGTGACTGTGGGGAGGAGTCAGTGCAGGTGAGCGGGACCAGCGTTTTCAGAGAGCTGGATGCAAACATAGGGAGAGCGAGAACAAACGGGGACCCCTGGCTCCTCTGCATCTGTCCGCTCGTCACCTCCAACCAAGATTGACCTTCAGAGGAGAATGGCTGTTGCTTCACTTCTGCCTCTCAAATTTCAGGCCAATTTCTCAAGCTTCAACCCTAACCTAGAGCCATACAGGCAAAGTAAGTCTGGGAACCCTGGTTCCAATTAGCCTGGGTGACACTGTACAAACCCATTAGATCAGCGGTTCTCAACCTGTGGGTCGCGACCCCTTTGGCGGTCAAACGACCCTTTCACAGGGGTCGCCTAAGACCATCTTGCATATCAGATATTTACATTACGATTCATAACAGTAGCAACATTACAGTTATGAAGTAGCAACGAAATTAATTTTATGGTTGGGTCACAACCTGAGGAACTGTATTTAAAGGGCCAGAAGGTTGAGAACCACTGCACTAAATAAATAAAACTTTTATTTTCCTCTCTCCCCCTTCCCCTGCCTCCCTCCTGGCCCACCTCTATCCCCCTTTGTAGCTTTCTCTGTCTTCTTAAATTATTATTGGTAATTTATGTTTTCATTGATATCATTTAGGTTTTCAAAATGTTTAACATACTGTTGTCTACAGTTTCCATAAATATTCTCATGTATATGTAAATATATTCAAATTCTATTTCTTACTGCTGTATATCTGTGTTGTCTCTCCTTACACTTTTTTAATTGATTTTTTGAACTTTATTATTGAGAGTATTACAGATGTCCCCTCTCCTCTCTCTTTGCCCCCCTTCACCCAGTTCCTGCCCCACCCCATCCCAACCCTTCACCACCCTATTGTCTGTGTCCATAGGTAATGCATATATGCATATAAGATCTTTGGTTAACCCCTTCACCCCCCTGCACCCCCCTTTCCTCTGAGATTCCTCAGTCTGTTCCATGTTCTCATGCCTCTGATTCTATTTTTTTTCATCAGTTTATTTTGTTCATTAGATTTCTTGTTCGTTTATTTTGATTTTTAGATTTAACTGTTGATAGATATGTATTTGTTGCCTTTTATTGTTCATATTTTTCATCTTTTTTTCTTTTCCCTCTTCTTCTTCCGCTCTTTAAAGAATACCCTTCAACATTTCATGTAATACTGGTTTGGTGGTGATTAACTCCTTTAGCTTTTTCTCCTTATACATTTTTTTTATTAAGGGTATTTTGATTTTATTTTTTTTTAAGCTATACTGGTCTCATTTATTAAAAAAATGAAAAATTAGAAGGCAGTTGGTTAAATAGGGGAACAACTGTGTAAACTATGATATTATATAATCAAAGAGTTATTTGTACTAAAAAGAAAGTGAATTGTATTACTATACGGATATGTTCATAGGAAATAATCTAAGTAGGAAAAGAAGAATTATGCTTTTTATTATGTACATCTAAATTACAACTTTGGAAAACCTAATCTACATGTTAGCAAGGATTAAAAGCAAATAACCAGTGTAAAAATGGTAACAGTTTAGTGACATTGGATTGCTCTCAGTAGTTATTTCAATTCACTATCATTTAAATGGTTTTTCCTTTTCCCAGTTATTCAATGTAAGCCACCACCAACCATCACCAACGGATATTTCCTTGGCAACAGCGGAGACGATTTTCCATACGGAATAGTGGTGACCTATCACTGCAGTGACAGAAAAGGAAGGGAAAAGTTTGAACTCGTGGGCGAGAAGTCAATATATTGCACCAGCAAAGATCAAGTGGGCCTCTGGAGCGGCCCTGCCCCTCAGTGCATCGTACCTAATAAATGCACGCCTCCGCACGTTGAAAATGGAATAAGGGAGTCTGAGAACAGAAGCTTGTTCTCCTTGAATGACATCGTGAGGTTTAGGTGTCAGCCTGGCTTTGTCATGAAAGGCCCCTCCAGTGTGCGCTGCCAGGCCCAAAACAGATGGGAGCCCGAGTTGCCCAGCTGCATTTTTTGATTGGGTTGTTTATCTTCCTTTTGTTAAGTTGTATGAGTTCCCTGTAAATGTTGGAGATTAAACCCTTATCAGAGATAACATTGGCAAATATGTTCTCCCATGTAGTGGGCTTTCTTGTTGTTTTGTTGATGGTTTCTTTTGCTGTGCAGAAGCTTTTGATTTTGATGTAGTCCCATTGGTTTATTTTCTCTTTGGTTTCCATTGCCCTAGGAGGGGTATCGGCAAAGAAATTGCTTCGACATATGTCTGAGATTTTGCTGCCTGTGGATTCCTAGTATTTTTATGGTTTCCTGTCTTACATTTAAGTCCTTTATTCATTTTGAGTTTATTTTTGTGTATGGTGTAAGTTGGTGGTCTAGTTTCATTTTCTTTTTGTATCTGTCCAATTTTCCCACCACTATTTA